TTAGAATAAAACATGCAAAATAATTACTTGATCTATTATGTTCATAATTAGATAGTATGTTTCTATTCCCAACTTCCCGTTTATTGATTATAATATGTTTTTTCATAAAACCCACTAAAATGTGTTATTTTTATGCATAAATATCTCATTTATATCTTATATTTAGTGATATTAATGTTTATTTATGATTTATTAAAGTATTTATAGCATTTCCATGTGTTTCTATGCCAATCTTAATTTTTCGTTTGTACCCCAAGGCGTTCCCAATATGTCTCTTAAATTTGACTTTCCTTTAAGCATAGTATTTCGATACTTTGAACCTTGTCTCCTACATACTACAAATTATAGTTTATCTAAAAACTAGCGGAATCCAAGATGGAGAACAGTCGTCCGCCGTTATTGTGTTTGTGGCGCTGCTTCTACTTCAGGGGACAAGGAACAAAGAACAACTCCTCCCATGTCAAAAGCCAGCTCCTTCGCCTCCTTGTCCATCTGTTTCATCACGTTGTGTTCTTTCCTAGCGATGAAGTTCCTCTTGTTATCTTGGGCGTTTACCCCAAATACAATTATCTGCAGATTCTCTTTCTCGGAAGCAACGACGGTGAACACATGTCCTAGTGGAATTATGAAACCTGTATTTGAAGACACACGGGAATTGCCCTTCTCATACTGTACCCCATCACCTTCTCCTTCTCTTCCTCTCTGGTTCTGACTAGAGATGTGTAGGCACGCCATCTCCCACCATCCACTCCCTTTCACTACAAAAGCTATCCTGGTCAACCTCGTGTTGTACAAGGGAGCTAGCATTCCTCCCTTGTTTATGTTGCTATATATGACAGAGATGTTGAGGTCTTTGAGCTGCTAGTAGTCGTTAGGTTGGGCGTCGTAGAGTTGTCCATAGCTGTTAGAATAGATGGGGCGTTTCTTCAACAGGTTGAACGGGCCCCTTGTCTCACTTTTGTGTATGCTCCATCGACGCCCGCCCTCTGATGATGAAGAAGCCTGCTCGCTCATGGCCTTAACGTAGCCGGGAGTTGAGATGGTCCTGAGGAATGTGACTATCTAGAGGTTTTCGTTGTCGTCTCTGTTCACCATGTAGACCATCGTTACAGCAGGAATCCTAACTACATCTCCACACTCAAGATTGTAGGATTCCCTGTTATCATTGTGCACCAAGTTGATTGTTGCCTTCCCCTTAACAACGATGACAACATCTGCATCCCAGTGGTGGGGGATCAGGAAAGTGTTAGGTTCGTCTTCCAGGATGGCCAAGCGGTAGTTATCTAGACCACTTAGAAGCTTGAACCGAGAGCTAAATCTCTATTTATCGAAGAAGTAGGGGTTACTCTTATGTCGCTGCTGCTGCTGCTGCTGCTCCTCCTCTCGGCTGCCTTCTCTTTGCTTATTATCTCTTCGCAGTTTCAGTGGGTAAGCCAGTGACAAATCTGCCGACAAAAGGAAGAGAGAGAGAGAGGAGGAAGAAACACGAAGGAAGCTTGGCTTTGATCACCATGGCTGAAAGAGAGAGAGCTTTGGTGGACGGATTCTCCTGTTTCGAATTGCGCTGAGGGGTATAACTGTTTCGCTGACGGGGAGGAATTGGAAAAAAATCATTTTTTTTGAATATTTTAAATTTTAATTATAATATAAAATAATTAATTACCAGTTAATATAGTAAATCCGGTAATTGCTGTAAACGTAGAGGGGATTTTCCATACGATATGGTTTTCCATATCATAATCGGACCCTCTTTCAAAACAGCCAAGATTGTCTCCTTAATTTTGGTTTAATCGCTCCAAGTAAACTCAATATAATCAGGACTCAAAATGCAGCCGCAGTAGTGCACTACTGGAATTTACATCCATTCCAGGATTAACCATATAGTCTATATTAATAATGAAAAAGGATTAAAAAACATATCTAGATTCCCTGCGTTTTGTTGCTATGCACGCACTTTACACAATCAACAAATGGCTACTTAGATTGCACGGTATAATCAACATAAATGCCATATTTCCTGCAACTTTTTGTTGGTACCACGTATATCCAGCAATTAATAGAGATTGAAATGTGCAGACTAAAAATATTTAACATACGGTGGCTTACCCCACCAGGAAGGCAAATAGAAGTAGAGAGAAACTTCAATACCTAAAAAACTTGAAAAATGAATAATGAAGGAATTGATGATGATTTTAGATGGCAAGTATTTATTAGAATGAACCGGTGATCGAAAAGAATTTATTGGAATGAAAAAGGCAAAGTAATATAGACACCCAACTGTAGAACAAGCCTTCTTATATAATTCAGGACAATGAACTGAGACATCATAATAAGATTACAAATCAAGTCTGATCCACTGCATGCAAACACATACATATTCACACACACACAAAGAGAGATAAAATCAAATGAAATCAAAACGCATAAGAAGCTTTACAGATTTGTACTGCTCCCCTTTGCGGTTATGCAGAGGGACTGCTCTGATCCCTGTCCTCAATTCTGATACAGGCAGACAAGTTTGGCCTCCAAAGTCATCCTTTTCAGACATGTCATACTCGTGAACTTCAATGCGAAGTAAAGCCATCTCAGGAACTGTCAATGGAAATGTAAATTCCTCATCCCAAACTGGCGTCCAGTTATCCTCAATTATCTTTGTTTTTTTCATTACTGAATCAGCTGGAACTCCAGCGATCCCGACCTGCAGGATGCTAGATCAGTCACCATGCTTTCCTCTCTCACTACCAGAACTATATCTTAACAAAAATGGGAAGGAATAAACTACCTTCCTCTAGTAACTTATAGTAGATAGACAATATTACCCTGCCGCCTACTTTAACACACAAAACAAGGTATAAAGTATCGATACACCCGATACACATGAATAGGCATATTGGGTGTTTCAATACAACAAAACATCCTTTTTCTTACTTTATTTTTTCCAAAATTGGTCTGCCTTCCCCCTGAAAATGCTGAAATTCCCATACCCTATTTATTTCCTGGATTGGAGCCCCACTGATATATCGGGTGTATAGTATCAAAATTTTGAACCTTGTTACAAAATACCCCCCCACACACTTACTTAACATAGAGAATCTCTCTCTAACAGAATCCTTTTTTTTAAGCCTCTCTACCAGAATCCTTTTTGGCAATACAGGATATTGAGCAAATCATGATACACCACATCAGCCTGATGTGTGGAACCCCTTTAATCTGCTTGCCTGAGTATAAATGGTGGGGTTCCTTTTTGTTTGCTTGAATAGGTCCCTTCATCTTGTTATGGTAGTATGTGAATACATGGTCTATTTGTTATGCGTATATGTAGACACATGTACTTTATGTGTGATTATGTGTGAGCACGTGCATGTATGTCACTCAACTAAAGGAGAATTTGAAACAAATATGTGAATAGGAGGGAAGCCAAAGACCCCAAGCACTACTATGAATAGGAAGGGACCTGCCTTGTAATGGTTCTTGAAGATAGAGAGTTATACCATGTCAAAAATGATCATAAAAGGATGCTTCTAATGAGATTGTAGTCAGAGGAAGCATGGTGGGCACTCCCGGAAATATTCAAATTGTTCTAATTATATGTGTCACAGAAATTGATTCAGAGTTAGTCTTATCCCAGGAAATATAGACCCAAGGTCAATTGCAATGGGTCCTATCACCTAATGTGATCATATCTGCAACATACGATTGGTTGGGTTTGTGCTTGTGACTGGTAGTTCAGATTTCTAATAAACCAAGTTAACCCTTGTAAAGCTCAACTCTTTCTTTTCTTCTCTTCTCATCAAGTTTGTCTTCAGCCTTGAACTTTCTCTCATCTCTCTTCTTCTCCTTCTATGTTCTTTTATTTTATTAACAACTAGAGAATGGCCACTCTGTACCAAGTGCGGGGCCAGTGTTTTGATAAATTTTGTTTGACACCATTATTTATGTTATAATTTTTCGATACATAGATTCGTTATTTAATTTATGAGATTAAGTAAACAATAACCCACTTTATGGATCCAACATCATTTGAATGATTTTTTTTAGTGGACGTAACTACTTACTACCTTTTTGAAAGTGGAGGTAACTACCATTTGAAGCTCATACAGTTTTTTGAGAGAACGAGTAGACACATCTGAAAAAGAATGCTTCTATTTATAAGTGGAAATAACGACTATTTTGATACTTTTCTTGAAAAAATATGATGCCACTTGTTTGAAGGAGAAGCCCTCTGGTCATGTATTATAAATATCTTAGATAATAGATCACAGATTATTTCAAATTCAAACTGAAGCAAAAGATCCAAGACCATGCATATCTAGTTGAAATCATTTTTTAATGATATAATCTTACCCTAGTATAGAAGTCTGGTGGAGAATATGCATCAAAATGTGTACGCTTGAAATCATAATTCCATCCTTCCCCCATGTATACTCTAACCTGTATAGAAACGTGAAAAACCAAAGTCAAGATGACTCAGCTAAGAAATAGACCAGCAATCCAAAAAAGGGTAACAAGACCAGATACAGTCAAAAGTTTAAGCAAAGATAACCTTCAAAGTTTTCTTCGTTTGTGATTTTGCCTTGGGGTCAAAAACCTTATTATGTGGACCAGCATTCAGTAGAAAATCAGGTTTTTTCACATAACCACATCCTCCATTGGCCCTAAACATTCCGTGCATCAACCAGAGGGATCTGCCATATCCCTGTCAAGGAAAACTCTAAAGATTATATTCAACAGATGCAAATTACAAGAAACCGTTCTTCCTGAGTGGGAAAAAAACATTATGGGGTGACTGATTAGCAACTATATCATATTATGAGCAAGCATATGGCTTGTTGCCATGAACCCTATTTCTTTTTTTTTTTTTTTTTTTTTTTGAGAAAGGACTTAATTTGGCTAAGTACATAGTTTCTTCAGCAGAATGGCAAAACAGGATTTGTTTAGATGGCACCAGATAATTGGGAACAAGGCTTTGTAGAGTGGAACTGAGGTATTTTCTTGATATTGGTGATCGCACACTGTTTCTACGGCAGATGCTTTACTAGAGAAGCATGGCTATTGCTATTACCAAAAAAAGAAACCCATGCAGCAGTAACCATATCTTGCAACAGGTAGCACGCCATAGTGGATGATCCTGGGGCATGCAAAAATGGTTTTGCGCATAAAACCATCATATGTCATTAGATTATGTGTGAACCTCAACTTTTATTCCAGAAGAGAGGATGCCAATTTGCAGTTCCATGGCYCTAGGTACCAAACAAATGTGATACCTCACCATCTATTGTCATGGATCTCAAGACAATGGATAAATCATTATCAATTCTTTAATTGATTAGTACAGAATTTCAGCTCACATACAACTAAGTGCAATAAAGGGAAATGAGCCTGATTAGCCATGACAATGATCATGCCTAATTGATTTAATTTTGCATGCAATCAGTTGCTTTTCACGAAGCATCTCATAATGCAATTAGGTTACATAGATAGCAAAAGTAAAATTGTTAAACAGTAAGAACATGATAGAAACTTAAGAATCCCAATTTAGATACAAAGAGGGAAGCCGAACCTGCATGTTAAGAGCAACCATTTGAGCTCCATACATCCACCCAAGTAATGGGTTGTAATTTGATGAGTCAACGCGTATACCCTTTGGGTATACCCTCAATAGATTCCGCTGAGTGAATCTACAACAACACTTGGCAAGGGTTTATGCAATGCTTAAGATGGTAAAGAAACAGATCATGTTGTATAGAAATTGAAACACAACTTTCATTGGAAAATAAATAGGAAGAAAACTAAACTCTGAAGCATGTGTCAGGATAGACCATTAGGTAACCGTGTGGCATAAGCATGCAACTGATGCACATTCAAGGGAACAAGGGGCCACCATTAGAAGAGCCAAATTTCTTTTTCTCTTTTTCATTTCTGTCTGTCTTATCCAAGGAGATTTCCAAGACCAGAATATATCGATTGGATAATTGTAACAATGAATTTTATGGAAACATTTCTTCATCATTAGATGAAAAGCATCAAGCTTTCCTTTGATGATATTTGGAGGAATTGGGGAATAGTGGCAACAAACTCTTCAAAAAAGGAAAAGCTTCTTTCCCTTTGGTCGCCCCCTGAAGAAGGCTTCATAAAACAAAATTTTGATGGGCGTTGTCAGGGCAACCCAGGTCCATCAGGAGTAAGGGGAGTGTTCAGAAATAAAGATAGACATGTTGATTTATTCTTGGGACCACCTGGTGTCAGGGACTCCATTGGAGCTGAATTTCTTGCTGCATTCCAAGAGGTACAAATAGCAAGAGACTTTAACTTTGATAGATCATTGAAGGGGATTCTAAGCTAGTGGTAGGATGGTTAAAGGACTTGGAGAAAGTAATATAGGCTAATAGTGATGAAATTAAGAGGTTAAAGTGTCTTACTAGCAAAATGACTTTAAGAATTCAATCAGAAAGAAGATTGGCTAATGGGATGGCAGATACACTAGCCAAAGGAGTTAATGGGGATCACTTGTATTGGGTTTAGTTGTAATTATAGAGTGTGAGAGGTTGCACCTTGTAGAGATGTAGAGCAATAATTAGTGCTGTTATATTGTTGTTATTTTATTTATTGTGGTCCCCACTGCTGCTGTTAGTTCCTACTTTATATTTGTTGTTAGGCTGCTGCTGTTAGCAATGTTAGTTTTGTTAGTTATTTGCTTATGTAAGAAGTAGGGGCATTAATGTAATTGCTGAGTAGGGTGGCAACTAAAGCCATCACTCTTTCTCTTCTCTCTTCTCTCTTCTCTTCTTCCTCTCTTCTTCCTTTCTTCTTTTCTGGTATTTTTTCTCATTGAATTACATCAAGAATTGGACTGATTACAGTCCTGATTTGCCAACTTGGTATCAGAGCCAATCTAAGGTATCTCATGTGTGTCTAATCCAGCCGGCCACATGAGAACCTCCTAGGGCTGAAAGCTTAGAAAGATCTGTCCATCGGCTGATTCTTGGAGGTTACCAGAAAGGTTTAGCAGTTGTCTAAGAGCTTGTAGAGGCTTGGAGAGTGTTTGGTAATCAGGAAGAATCAGAGAGGAACAAGAAAGATCAAGATTAGGGTTCAGACTGAGATTGGAAGTGGCGATCAGTTTTTTTCTGGGTAAGTTTCTATCTTTCCTTGAGGTCGACACCAGTCAGAGATAGAGTAGACCAATCTAGGAGTGGCTGAGTTTTCCTCTATTTTGTCAGAGTTTTCTCTAGGGTTTGCTCTTAACCCTACGATCAGACCTGACTGTGACCTATTTAGAAGGTGCAGCTTAGAATAGTTCCTGTTCTCTCAAAGCTTTCTCTAGGGTTTTACTTGTTTAGTAGGGACTGAGATCGGTCCTAGTCTAGATGAGAGTTTCAACAAGAAAACCAGAGAATGAAATAGGGAGAAAGATGGAAGAGAGAAAAGAGAGAGAGAGGAACAAAGAGAAAGAATTTCAGAGAAAGAGTAGGATCAGTCACTTGCCACCCCACTCAATATTAAAGATTTAAAAGTTGCACACTTACAAAATTGCCCCTGCTAACATAACATGTCAGCAACTAAAAGAATAACGGAAATAACTAACTAACACTACTAACATGCTAACAGCTGACACAAATGATATTACTGCCCTATAACTCTATACTCCCCCTCAAGTTGGGAGTAGATATCAATCATCCCCAACTTGTGTAAGTTTGTCTCCAGCTTGCTCTTTGGAACTGCCTTAGTGAAGAGATTAGCGGGCTGCATATCAGAGGCAATATGTGGAAGACACACTTCTTGAGAAGCAACTTTCTCTTTGATAAAGTGTAGATCCACTTTGATATGTTTAGTTTTGTCATGTTGAATCAGGTTATGGGCAACATTAATAGCAACTTGATTATCACAATACAACATCAGGAGCTTCTCATAAGCAATACCCAGTTCTTCAAATAGAGATCTCAACCATAAGATATCAGCCACCCCATTAGCCATAGATCTGTGTTCAGCTTTAGCACTAGAACAAGCAACATCATTCTATTTTTTACTTCTCCAAGAGACGAGATTTCCTCCTATAAAGGCACAATACCCGAATGTGGATCTCTTGTCATGAATGCACCCAACCCAATCAACATTTGTGTAGATTTCTATTTTCATGTGACCATTTTCCTTGAAAAGTATACCTCTACCTGGACATCTCTTTAGATAAACAAGGATCCTCTCAACTGCAAGAAGGTGAGTGGTTCTAGGGGAATGTATGTACTGACTAACAACACTGACAACATAAGAAATGTCCGGTCGTGTGAGGTAAAAATAAAGAAGCTTCCCAACCAATCGTTGAAACATAACCTTGTATTCAAGGGGCTCTCCCTCTTCTGCACTTATCCTATGGTTTCTTTCAATAGGTCTGTCAACATGTTTAACACCTAGTTTTCCAGTTTCTTCTAGAAAATTGAGAACATACTTCCTTTAGGAAACAAAAATCCCATGTTTGGACCGTGCTACCTCAATTCCTAAGAAATATCTTAGTTCTCCCAAATCTTCTAGAGGAAATTGGGAAGCTAGGTGTTAAACCTGCTGACACACTCATTGAACAAAACCACAAGATAAGAACCGAAGGTGGAGAGCCCCTTGAAGACAAGGTTATGTTTCAGAGGTTGGTTGGGAAACCGCTTTATCTTTGCCTCACCCAACCAGACATTTCTTATGCGGTCAAAATGTAGTTAGCCAGTACATACATTCCCCCAAAACCACTCACCTTCTTGTAGTTGAGAGGATCCTTGCTTACCTAAAGAGATGTCCAGGCAGAGGCATACTCTTCAAAAATAATGGTCACATGAAGATAGAAGTCTACACGAATTCTGATTGGGCTGGGTTTGTTGATGATAGGAGGGCTACTTCTGGGTATTGTGCCTTTGTAGGAGGCAACCTTGTCTCTTGGATGAGTAAGAAACAAAATGTTGTAGCACATTCTAGTACTGAAGCAGAAGATCTATAGTACATGGTGTGGCTGAAGTATTATGATTGAGGTCCCTGTTCGAGGAACTAGAAATTGCTTATGAGAAGCCCTTGATGCTATATTGTGATAATCAGGCTGCTAATAACATTGCCCACAATCCGATACAGCATGACAGAACTAAACATATTGAGGTGAACCGACACTTTATCAGAGAGAGAGTTGCCTTTCAAGAAGTGTGTCTTCCATATATTGCATCCGATATGCAGCTTGTCGATCTCTTCACCAAGGCAACTACAAGGACCAAGTTGGAAACAGATTTATGCAAGTTGATAATGATAAACATCTATCCCAACTTGAGGGGGAGTGTAGAGATGTAGAGCAATAATTAGTGTTGTTATATTGTTGTTATTTTATTTATTGTGGTCCCCACTACTGCTGTTAATTAGTTCCTACTTTATATTTGTTGTTAGGTTGCTGCTGTTAGCAATGTTAGTTTTGTTAGTTATTTKCTTATGTAAGAAGTAGGGGCATTAATGTAATTGCTGTCTTATATTTTGGTGTTATTATAAATAGCTGAGTGGGGTGGCAACTAAAGCCATCACTCTTTCTCTTATCTCTTCTCTTCTCTCCTCTCTTCTTCCTTTCTTCTTCTTTTCTGGTATTTTTTCTCATTGAATTGCATCAAGAATTGGACTGATTACAGTCCTGATTTGCCAACTCACCTCAGCATCAACTTTCATGTGTATAACCTCTTGAAGGTGAACTTTACATTGTGCACCATATATTCATCAGCATTTCCCAGGCAGGACATCCTTATGTTCTACCAAGACTGGCATCTTACATTCCACAATAGACTTACTGGTAAAGGAGAAATGTCAAAGCTATCTAAAAGTATTCTTGGAAAATATCCAAAGTTAGGCTGAAATGTAAAACTGGCCAGCTTGATGTCACAAAAGACTTCCAAAGATCTTGTGCAAAATATTCTTGTTGAAAATCTGGCTCACCTGATAACTTCAGCTCCACGAGTTAAAACAGCCTTTTCAAGCTGTTGCTCGCTCAAACTAAGACGTCTGACTTTGTTGGGTTCCATCCTTAACAAGCCAGCTAATCCACCCTTGAGTTTGCCAGCATGAATTGCAATTAAACGCCTATATTCAGGAGCTGTATTCTGCTGTAATTTGTGATCACCATCATCAACATCTTCCTCATTGTCTCCCTCATCTGAATCATTCTGCTGGAAAATGGAAAGCAGGCAATTAAATAAACATCACAACATCACCAACATAGTGAATCATTATAGTAATACAATAAATTATAATTCACATACACTCACACACACCTTGTCAATATCTTGAAGTCCAACTTTAAGGTCATTGACTTCATTCCCCCAGTTTTCTTCATCAGCAGAGTCCTTCTGTGAATCACTTTCCTTTTCCTTGGCTTGAAGGTACTCTTTCGGTGGTTTTGTAGAGATGACAATTCGTTGCTTCAATGATTCTGGTGAGGGGAATTCCTCTAGACCTTCTGACCCAGGGGTAAAAAGTGCATCTCGAAATGTTTGTGTGAGCATCTACAAGGATATCATTTATATTCACAAAAAGATGGTAAAATTTCCAAAACCATAAGGTGATTAAATTGCATACTTTAAAAAAATGAAAGAAGACAGATATTCACCTGAGCTACTTTAGCCTGAAGATCTGGAGTAAGATGATCTTCTAGAGTTATGACCACAGGGAATATAGATTTATAAAAGGCATGCTCCTTGATAGACCTCAAACATTTTATGAGTTCCACCGGGGTTGTCAATGTCCTATATGATGAAAGCCATATCACTTAAAAAGAGAAATGAGGATGAAAGGAAATATTAGCTCGAGAAAAGTTGGCAAACAAAAGAATATTGCTTGTAGTTAAAGATTTGTCATCCTTAGATGACATAATCTTTTGTTATGAATATGACAATCTATTCTTTAGCAAATAAATTTAGAAGGTCATGGGGCCTGTTGTTTAAAGTTTTTATCCAACAACATCATAACAATTGGTCACTTATTTTTATCAGTAACTGTGGAATAATGGAAACTTTATTATTATTAGATCTACTTGTAAAATCTGATCAGATTAGAGTTTTCAAATACAATAAAATAGAGAAGAAAGCTGAAGAAAAACAGTAGTAGAAGAAAAGAACAGAAGAACAAGAGAAGAAAGAATGAATGTAAGGAGAATCTGTCTATGGCAGTGCAATCAGCTCTATTCTTTATTATTTATGTGGTGTGTAAAATTACAAGAATATCCTGCCGCCTACTAATGTGGTGTGTAAGAACCAGAAATATAAAATATGCTTTGTCAGAACATGATAAGAAAGAGAAATAAACTTCTCAACACTCCCCTTCAAGCTAAGCATAGATGTTAATCATACCCAGCTTCCTTATATAGTGCTACAACTTAGATTTAGGAACTTCTTTGGTGAATATCTACTAGTTGCTCTTCTAAAGCTATGAATGGAAGGCAAACATTCCCAGAGGCTACTTTTTCCTGTAAAAAGTGCCGGTCAACTTCAATGTACTTTTCTATAATGTTGGATTGGGTTATAACCAATATTAATAGCTGCCTGGTTCTCATAATACAATGCCATGGGTTTATCATAATCAACTCCTAGTTCACCAAGAAGATGCCTAACCCATAGAATCTTAGACACCTTGAGCCATGGCTCTATATCTGGCTTCTGCACAAGAACAACCAATTACAGATTGTTTCTTATTCCTCCAAGAAACTAGATAGCTCAATCAACATTTGGATAAGACTCGATCCTCATGTGCCCATTATTAGAAAACACGATCCCTCTACCAGGATTACCCTTCAAATAGCATAAAATATTCTCTATAGCTGATATGTAAACATCCTTGGGAGCATTCACAATTTGGCTGATGACACTAGCAATATGAAATGTTTGGTCATGTTATTAATAAATATAATGATCTACCACCTAATCTTTGAAACATTTCCTTGTCAATAAGTAACTTCCCATCTATAGCAGACAAGCAGTGAATAGGATCAATTGGGGTATCCACAGGTTTCACACCTAGTTTCCAAGCCCGCATCCAGCCACAAATTGAGAATCTCTTCCTTACATGTATGTTACATGGGGAGATGTTCCCAATGTGCGGCTGGATTCCCATGCTTTCACAGTGTGTGTAGAGTTTTTGCTTGCAGGGAATCATGACACCTAGTTTCCATGTCTCCTTGAGTAAATCCAAAACATACTTGCATTGGGAAATGAAGATACCTTCTTTGGATCCTGGTATCTCAATACCCAGAAAATAACGCAACTCACCTAGGTCCTTAATTTCAAACTCAATGCTGAAGAATTGCTTAAGTCTATCAATCTCAGGAAAATCATTGCTTGTCACTACAATGTCCTCCACATAGATGATAAGGGTAGTAAGAAAAGATCTATTTTTCTTCATAAAAATGTATGATCAGATTGAACATGCTCATAGCCCAATCTCACCATTGCTCTCTAAATCTATCAACCAAGAAGGCTTGAGGGGACTACTTAAAACCATATAAAGATTTTTTTTTTAAGTTTACATACCTACCTTGTTCAACTGTCCCATAGAAGCCAAGAGGAATGGTTATGTAGACTTTTTTTTTATCAGCAAAGAAATTTTTATTAATATATTTAGAAAATTCAGAGAAGAATTCAGTTAATAGGCCATCCCACCAGCCCAAAAGTACATCAAATTACAAATTTTCCCAAAACAAACTAGGCCTGTCAACTCCTTGCTTTTCCAAAACATCTGCCAACTCACTTGTAGTCCTTATCCAGCTGAAGGTAGAATTGAACCTCTTTGCTAGGATACCAATTTCCCTGAAAGCATGTCTGTATTTCCAAGGAGCTGAATTGAAATTCTTGGCCCATGAGATGAGCAACTATGAATCTCCTTCAATACCATTTCCCTTACTCCGAGCTGTACTGCAAATCTCAATCCTTGTAAGAGAGCCAGAATTTCAGCCTGGACTGAATCTCCAAAACTAATTGGTCCTGAAAACAGGGCCACCACCAGTCCTTGATGGTTTCTAGAAACTCCTATTCTTGCCCTTCCTGGATTACCCAACAAGCTACCATCAAAATTCAACTTTAGCTTATTTATAGCTGGAGGTTTCCAATCCATTATTACACTTTTTGAAGGTTTAACTATTTGTGCCACTTCAGTCTGGGATCTTATTATGTCATTTGTTGAGATTTCTCGAAAAAGGTCCAAAATTTTTACCCAATGTTCAGTTCTTACTATTGTGGCTTCAATCAAATCCTCCTTTGATTTGCTCCTCATTAAAAATTCTCTCATTTCTTTCTTCCCATACAGTCCACATGAATGCTACTCTTGCTGCCCTCCACAAACCTACCACATCTTGTGGGGGAACCCATTTGTAACCAAAGAGAGAACAGAAGTCTTTCCAAATACAAGACACAAAGGAACATGAGATTAATAAATGAGGAAGGGTCTCACCACTTCCTTGAAAGGGATACACACATTAGGAGAGAGGCACTTATTTGGCCTTATTTTCTATAGCAAGTCACAGGTGTTGATCTTCCCCAGGAACACTTCCAACACAAAGATTGCACTTTAGGAGGGATAGGTTTGCACCGGATTTCTTTTATTGGGAAGTTCACCCCCAAAGGATTTGACAAGACAAGAAGGTTAAAAAAGGAAGCATATGAGAATAGGCCATCAGGCGAGGGGAACCATATGAGAATAGGCCATCCAAGAAAAAAATTGCAGCTTTTATTGTAAGAGAACAAGGRAGTCACACTCACTGTCTCTCAGACCTCTCCTGAAGCCAAAGTCCCAATTCAACCCAAGTTTACATGAATGGTCATGTACACTTCTTCTGAGAGATTATCATTCAAGAAAGCATTTTGAGATCTAATTGATACAGAAGCCAAGAGTAAGAAGTAATGAGAGAGCAGAGCCCAAATTGAATTCATCTTGGCAATTGAAGCAAAGGTCTCAAGATGGTCAACACCACAAGTCTGTGTAATCCTCCATTTTTCCCATCTTGCACTAAATCTATGGCAACATCCTCCTCAGTCTCTCCCTTGTTATGAATTATTGAACCACGGAGAAATTGAGGAGGATGAAAATAAAACTAGATCTAAGAAGACTCTAAGGAGGCCCAAATTACAAACATTGTCAGCTACTAATGCAACTACCAAAAGATGTAGCTATTGTTAAGGTGTAACAAGCAGGGTCAATGCATAGCCTTGTTGTACAGTTCACCAAGCAGTCCCTAAACTACTTAAGTTTAGGGAAGAAGGGGCTAAGTTCTAGCAGTATCGAAACCACTAGGGTCTGAAAAGTCTGATAGAAACCAAGGCTGAGATCCTCTAATTCTTGTGAAAGAAAACAGAGAAGTGTAGGAAAAATAACTAAACTGTCTTTATTTCTTCCAGAAAAAAAAAGAAAAAAAAAAACTGCCTTACAATCTGTTCTATCTGTCTTTAATAGACCTTGCCATACATAGACCTAGAAGACTTCTAGGCTGAAAATAACTCTTATGATAAGAAACCTAAATTGACAAATAACTCTCAGAAAACTTCTAAACTGAAAATAACTCTTTGATAAGAATCCTAAACTGACAAATAACTCTTATAATAAGAATCCTAAGTTGGCACACACAAAGGGTCTGTTCAAAAATAAAACCAAAGATAGCATAGGGCCAACTTGGTTGAACTAATAGGGATGCCTTAGGGCTAGCACCCTTCAAGAATACACCTTATCCACCTTGGGGTGTTCTATTAAAAAAATTGGCGTGTGGCCTGATCAGGGTCTGATGGAGGTTGGATGGACTGCAATTGATTATTTTGGGGCAGCACAGGTTGATGCTCTGCATCAGCTACTGTCTCATACTCCAAATTGACCTTGATGGCTGCCAAATGTGATTTCTTATCTTTACTTCCAAATATGTTTGTCCAAACTTCCACATGGCAAACAACTATAGAGTTCCATTGAGACACTCTGTATGACCTTTGTAAATAAGGTTTAGTCATAGAAAAGAAGTAGATTATTAACTCAAATGCCACCTATCAGTTCATCACTTGCTAGTTACTTGAGAGTTCTTTCTGTTTTGAGTGCTGGATTTGGAAGTTTGAGAGGAAAATATGAAATGTTGAARGCAAAGAAGCAACCTTTAGGTTCCAAGAGCCACCTTCTCATCCTCATCAACTCCTGGGTGTCATCAACTGATGAAATTAGAAGGATTTTATTCCACAAATTGATGGCAAGCCTGCATGAAATTCCCCAGTCATCCCCTAGTGAAACACCACAAAAAGTAGTTCTGTCTTTCCCTCAATGGGAGTTTGCAGTTCAATAGTAGCTCAAGATGCAAGCCAAGGTCCAGCAAGTATTAGAGGGATTCTACTTATGACAGAATTTTCTGTCAGAACCAGTTCATGAGAATGGACAAGAAGAGAACAAACACTGTTTGGGTGTGTCCAAAAGTGACATTCCACACACTGGAAAATAGATTTATATTAAATTAGTAAAAGGACCATTCTGTCCTCAAGATACAAATAATGTACAAAAGAATAAAAAAAGAATCTAGTGTACAAGAGGCACAATATAAGGGTGCTCAAAGGACAAAAAAAACCCTCTAGCTCACATTGTCTCTACATTTTCTGGGTGTTCTGTAACTGTAAGCCACCAGGGACATTGATTCCATTGGACTAAATTAATTAGGAACTAAGAGGGTCTTCATTTACTTTTGTACATTACCTCATGTACTCACTTTTCCCATACAGTTTCTATAATAACAAGTAGAAATACTATTTTCTCTAAAAAAAAAGTCCAGCTTCATGGAAGAGAATCATTTCTTTGGAGGTTGGGATAGTTCTAAGACACTCGTCTACCATATGTCAAATTTTATGCACCACTGGTTGCTAAAAGTTAGAGAATCTTCGAAGGGAGTTATTTGGACTCATGGACTCCAAATGATGTTTAAGGTAGTATCTCATGGAGATCACAACTTGGATTAAATACAAGATTATTTATACAAATTAGTTTGCACATTAAATATATACCTTCCATGAAGAACATCCACATTATCCTTTGTGGAATTTGGCCATATATCTAGTTCGATTACTCTAACACATCTCTGCAGTGCCTTTATTATGGGAACATCACTACAATCACTGCTAAGTTGATTCCCAGTTAAATAGGAATTGTGCCCTGTGTATATGAAATAATGGGACAATGGGGCTGTCATATCATGATGCACCTGGAAAAGAAGGCATACTGTTATTAACCAAAAAAGGGACAAAGATCATTATTTTTCAAACCATTGTAGAACAGTATAATCCACAGTTTATGAAATCAGTAATATGAGAGAAGAACTCAAGAATAAACTTGGATAATGCATGGTTTGAGTGAACTGCAAACAGAAAGGTATGTATTTTGATGCATAACAGGATAAGTGAGACAACTGAAATAAGCTGAACACAAGAAATAGAGATCAAGAATAAAAAAAACGGTAAATTTCAATTTATGTCCTGCAAGATAGGGGGAACAAAGAAAAAGAGAAATTCCATGAAGATCCATGCAGCATACAAAATAGAAAACTGATAATTTCATGAATGAATACCTGATAACCCTCTTAGGGTTGTTCCTTTTTTCAGCCTCAGCTTCGTGTAGTCCACTATGCAACCTAATCCTGTTTTTGTAAGATGGATAGGTCAAGTGACAGGAAAGGACATTCAGAAGGATGGTGCAGTCACTTGCACTAGGACCACATTGGACAACTGACCTATATCATCATCTTTCATGAGATTAAACACGGTCCATTGCCTTTATTATTTCAAAACAAGAGGTTGGCGCTCATTAGGGTATCAAGCCTAACCTCTTCTGTTAGGTGAACTCTAAGATCTGCTAGCATACTTGCAGACTTGCTATTTAAAGGGGGGTTAAATGGAGTCTTTGTATTGGGGTTCTGCACGAGGGGATAGTATGCATGTAATATGAAGACTACCTGTTGGGGTGCTGGCTTCCCTCAGCCTAGGATGCACTTCTTGTATTTTTATCCATTCTTCAAGTAACTTGTTAGAGCTAGCCAAATAGGGGTAGATTAGTCATTTTATTTCTGTTAAGTTATGTGCTTATGTGGCAGTTTTAATAGAGACTTCCTGTCCCATACTTAAGTGGGGGGCAGTTTAGTCTTTGTACAACTAATTAGAGGCTAATTCATATTAGGGTTGACTGATAGGGTTTATGCTATCAGATTCGACTGTTCTTCTTCTTCTTTCTCCCTTACTCTCTACTGGTTCGAACTACTTAAACACAGCTGTCAAAACATAACTAATAATATATGCATTGATCTGTTTCTGAAAAAATTACAAAAGAGCATATGGATAGAACTATTTTTTTTGTAAGACACCATTCATCATAGTGAAGGGAAGGGAGATCCATCATATGAATGGCCGAACCGTGCAGGGTGGCTGGGCGAAATTTCAAAATTTTCTTTCTCCCTTCCGAGAATCTTATTCCCTGTTTTAGAAAAACTACATTTTTCAAGGTTCGTTCTTGAAACAAACCGAACTAGATCTGTAACCAAAATAAAGGGAGGGATATACCTGATACGGAATCCACAAATGTAGCTCCCAACGTAGGTGTTCACGCCCAAAGAGGTCACCAAATCCTACCTCCACTGAAGATGGCACAGCTTGAGATGAAGCAGGATTAGAAAAGCAGTTCTTTAGCAAGAACTGCAATCCTTCAACAATGATCACGCAAGGGAGTGTGAGCACAACTTCAGATCTGATTTATCTAGCAAAAATCAGAATCAAGATCAAATCTTAATCAATCCAAGACTCTGGAAATCGAACAGGGTAGGTCTAACAGAACAGAGGAAAGAACTGGATTCAGCAAAAGTGTTTAACAAAAGGAATTTGCCCTCTATTTATAACCATTCAAGATCAGCTTCCTAATCCTATTAGGAAAGAGTTCTTTGATCCAAATCTTTATTTGGATCTGAACTCTTAAGTGGATAAGACTTATCTTATCCTCTTGCTGATCCATATCCAGATCTAAACCCAGATTCACCCATATTATTTAATCTCATTAACCCAGTTCGAAATGGGCTTTAGGCCCATTAAGCTATCAGGCTCACTTCCCTTTTAATTTGCTGGCTAGCTTGGCTCTCTTTGTATGGCGTGGGACCCTAACATTGACTCCACAAAAGCCATATGAGTTTAGCCTAGCCTCTGTTACAAGGACTGGCCGAATTCACTGTTGAACACAATGAACCCCTGAGCCCATCAATATGGGCTCTTAGCAGACCCAACATTTACACTAAATGGTCCTTGGGTCCATCCAACTTATGAAGGCCCAAGGACTATGGACTTAAATGAGATTAGCCCATCAGGTACATAAGCCCTAAATGGTCTTACACTTAACCTCTCAGCCCATAATGATTAAACACTGTCCGACAAGAGATGACCTCTCCCTCGGCTGCAAGGTACAATGTCGCACTCTTTACTCAGGAAGGATCCCGGGAATTAAAACCTTTTGCAAACATTTTCATAAAACATAATATGTATATCTATATGTAAATATATTTTGCAAAACAAATCTCAAACACATTTGAAATCAACTACCTGCAGTTTAAGTTTCCATCAGAGAGTGCTATTCCCGATCATTCACTTTGTCCGACAAAGGGGTTGATTTTATCACTATGATCACCCACTCAAGTGAATTCTCAGACTGCCCCAACATACCCAAGTTTTGACCCCCGCTAAGGATCTCACTAGTTGGCATATCAAAGACAGCCCAATCCAATACCTAGTGCAGTACCATAATCGAGTCTAGGGGTTAGGTGTAACTTTCCAGTTTTGCCCATCTGTCTCCAAGGTCCAGGGCATAACTGGAAAATGGTCAAGTTTTGAGTTTTAAACAAACCCACACCACATGTACTTCGGGTCTCACCCTGGCAGTTGAGACAAACTACCCCAATCGACTTGGCAGCACATTAGTGTCAGTCTTGGCAGGATAAATCTCCACAGGTCTATCCAACGGCTGTGAATATTCTAAACTAACACGAGTCTCATAAGTGTCCAGTTTAAAGGGTATTACACAGAAACACACTAGATATAACATGAATCAATTTATGTACTTTATTCATTTACAATAAATGTCAAAATGTACATCAATCTGATTGGAGCTAAGGGCATACACTGTCTAACACATAGATGTGAGGACCTAATTTTGGGAGTTTACCTGGTTTCAAAGTCACAGAAAAGTTGCAGAGTGCAAAATATAATTTAAAGATGTGGAAGAAATAGGTTTTTGGGGTATAGGAGAAGTTTTTAGAAATGTGCAAGGGCAAATAATTGCTATGTTTTCAGGACCAATCAGTTTTGGGATTCTACAAGGGATGAGCTCACTGCAGTACTTCATGGATTACAGCCGRCAAGAGAAATGAATATCACAAATTTAGTTATTGAATGTGACTCTAAAGATGTGACTGGATGGTTAAAAAGTAATGAGAAAGCTTTGGAGTAATAGAAATGAATTGAAGCAAATCGATTGGTTGATAAGAAGCTTAATCATAAAGATAGAATGGGTGCAAAGATCTGCAAATGGGGTAGCAGATCTGGCTAAGCAAGGGGTCAACAGGACTCATTTGTACTGGGCTAGATTGTAATTCATGTAANCTGGCTAAGCAAGGGGTCAACAGGACTCATTTGTACTGGGCTAGATTGTAATTCATGTAAGACTATTTGAGGTAGGGTAGTAATCGCTACCCTACATAAGGCTGCTTGTACTTTTGCTTTGTGATTTGCATTAATAAAGTGATTCAGTTACTTGTGGGAAAAAAAAAAAAACAAATAGGTTTTGGGGTTGATTAGAGAAACAAAAAGCTTCAACACAGGCAAATTTCAAGGATCGCAATAGAGAAAAACCACAAAACTTAAGGATGAAAAAACACTTTGTTAGCATAGGGGTATTTCTGTCTTTATACCTTGGTTGATGTTGATGATTTGTAGTGTTGTGTTGGAACATGTGCTCTTAACTTAAGTAAGGGCACATAGGTCTTTTCAGTCTTGTTTTAATAATAATATAAATACTTACTGGCCAACTGGGAGAAGTCACGTTGACTCTGTCAGTTCAAACCAGAATTCTCTCTTCTCTCCTCTCTCTCTCTCTTTCTCTATCACCTTTTCTTCTTCTACATAACTGAACTCAGTCAGGCCGAACTCTAAGGCAGACCTGAATT